CACTTGATAAGACAACAGAGGGCTTAGAAGTCTGCAAACCTTGAGGGGAGGGAAAGGTGGTTATGAGGAGCCCAAGGAAGGGCCTGGTGACCCTTTGCTTTCTGCCCAGCACTGTTTTCTTGTTAGACAGTTGTGTTCGTTCTCGAGTCGACCATCCTGGATGGAGATACAGTTGAGAGAGGGTGTAGGGACAGTGGGGCATAGAGAGTGCTGGGTGAAGAATCAGGAGGCTGGAGGCCCTGTTGGCACAGTAAGCTTTGTGAGCTTGGGCAAGTCCCTTGATTTCAATGAGTTTTATGATTATGCATTGATGTGCTTTTTTATGTCTATAAAAAATAAGTTTAATAAAAATAGAAAGACCATTCAGACTAGGGGAGCCAAAGCCCGGGGGCAGCCCAGGAACCCACACCTGCCCCAGAAGGAGAGCTTGGACAGTTGCGAGGAGGGGCAGTGGGCATGCTCCTCAGATGACCCCGCCCATTCCGATGTTGAGGCTAACTGTTAATGACAATATGATTTGTCCTACCAGTGTCTTTTGATGACCTTTTTTAATAGTCGCCATGCCTTACATATATCCTCAGGACTTATTTATCTTACACCTGGAAGTTTGTCCCTTTTGGCCCTCTTCACCCTTTTCACCACCCACCCCCACCTCTGGCAACCACTAGTCTCTTCTCTGTGTCTGACTACTTCTTCTTTTTAAGATTCCACATACAAGTGAGATCATACAGTATTGTCTTTCTTTGTCTGACTTATTTCACTTAGGATGATACCCTCAAGGTCTATGTTGTTGCAAATGGCAAGATTTCCTTTTTTTATGGTTCAATGATACACACACACGCACACACACACAACCCAGGATGGCCATTTTCAAAGGCAGCAATCAAATAAGTAATCTTATAAATAAGTGAAGTAATCAAGATGCCAAGCCCCACCAAGAGGATATATGTAATGATTTGGGAATCTGTTGCCCCATCTCCGGCCTCACAGTTCCTCTGTCAGCACCCCCAGCCCCCACTCTAGGGGTGTAGCTCTGGCTGCCGGCCCCTCATTCCTTTCTCTGGGGTCTCTGGACTTACGGCCATGGCCTTGAACTTTCCCAATCACAGCGAGGCCCCTGGGCACGGCCTGACCTTCCAGGGCCTCCTTGCTCCTTAAGGGAGCATCGAGGAGATGAAGACCTACGGGTTCAAGTCCCATTGTGGTTTTCGGAAGGCCTTCTAGGGATTCCACTGTGAGGAGTCCTTCTGTATAATCAAAGAAACCCCTAAGAGTTACATACAGGTCCGTGTAGCCAGCAGCATGGGCCCCTCCAGGTAAGCTGGTTTGGTACAGTACGAGAATCAAAGCATGGCTTTCAAGGCCCAGGGAAAGACTGTCCCCATAGTGGTCATTTCCCCAAAGTCATCCCCTCTTGGGGCCGAATATTCCAATGCCTTCCCTGGTCCTCAATTACTGGCCTTTCAAAATCTCCCTCCATCCTGCTCGCTGTGGAGACAGCTCACCCCGGTTTGCTTTCTAGCTCTCCGTCCTGGCACAGCATGGGAGGGTCCTGCTGCTCTGACGCTCCCCTCCCGGCCTGTCCCCACCCGGCCCTCGCGGGCGCGGCCACCTCCTGTTGGCGACAGCCGCTCCTAGGAGGGCCCTCCAGATCTTTCCCGGGTCGCCGGCACGGCAGCTGCTTTACAATACAATGCACAATCTGGTCCTTCGCAGCAAACGAATAGACTTCCAAAAAAAAAAAAAAAAAGATCACGTCCAGACATTTCTTTCTGTTCCCGCCATCACCGTCCGGGCTGCAACCCCCAGGCCCCACGGAAGAACGGAGAACCGCGGCGCGCCCGTTACTTCCCTGCGGCTGCCGTGCGCGTCTAGGGACAGCAGGGGGCGCGAGGGAGCCGATCCTGTCCCTGCCCCGCGGGCTGCACACAGAAGCCCGGGCAGGAGTGGGGGCTGCTCTTGGCCTGGGAAATGCGTCTGTCCCCCAGTGCAACCTTCTGGGCCTGGGGGCTTTGAAGGCCCGCTGTGCGCAGAGCCTAGACGAGGCGGGCGGGAGGGGAGGAGAACACCTGTAACAGCCCCGGGAGGCAGAGGGGTTGCCCAAGGGTGGGGGGGACTTCACGGGCAAGGTGCTGCCGTGCGGCTGGGCCCTTAGCCACATCTGGTGAGAAGTAGACAGAGTGGAATGGGAGCCCGCTGGTCTTTTTTTTATGATACACTTTCTATTAATAACCATTTTGTGGATCGTGTAATTGGGTTAGAATTTCCCTAATTTGTACGTGCTGTATGAAAAGCGGGTATTTGTATCTGTTAGTATTTTTACCATTCACACCACAGGCCAATCCGGGAAGCACCGTGTGGAATCAATCCATTTTTACAAAATGCAGCCATGATATAAAAGGACGCCTGGGAGGCCTCTGCCTGAAAGCCAACTGCAGTGACGGCTCAAGGGCAGAACGCTTTCAAGTGATACTCTCATCTGTCTGCTTGGCTTGTGTTTGGGAAGTTCGCAGCGGCTCCCAGGGCTGGGGCGAAGCCGGCAGACCACCCCGGAGCGGGAGAAGCCACGTGCCTGCTGGGTTTTGGAGTGGGATTCTGCACCACGTCACTGAAATCCCCAGCCGTACAGGTGGTCCCCAGAGTCTTCCTGCAGGTTGAGGCCACAAAGAGAGGGCGCCTGGGTGGCTCAGTCGTTAAGCGTCTGCCTTCGGCTCAGGGTCCTGGGATCGAGTCCCGCATCGGGCTCCCTGCTCCGCGGGAGGCCTGCTTCTCCCTCTCCCACTCCCCCTGCTTGTGTTCCCTCTCTCACTGTGTCTCTCTCTGTCAAATAAATAAATAAAATCTTTGGGAAAAAAATTATCTATGAAGCCACAAAGAGCTCAAAACTGGACTCAAACTTTTGGGACACCTTGAACACGGAGTAGAAATTGCAGAGACCTCGGGGCCATAGGGAGCAGCGTTTAAATCCTTTTGTGAAGAAGTCCCTCTTTTTCGTGGTTGAGAAGCTTACGTTCCCATCCTGGTTCTATCAGTCAGTAGCTGTGGCTTTTTGCAAAGCTCCCTAACCCTTCAGGCTGCAGTTTCCTCGTGTCTAAAAAGAGGCAGTGGCGTTAGGTTCTTAGATGAACTCAAAGTTCTTTTTCAGGGTCCAAGAAAAACTCAGGTGAGGTCTCACATGCATTAGGCATTTGAAGTAGCTATGGGGAAAGGGGCTGATGAGCACTGGGAAATCATGCAATGAGAGATGCTGGGCCCCACTGTCAACAATTGGTTGACCTTTTCACGCTCCCTCCACCGCACCCCCAGCTGGCTTTAGGGAGACTTAGCCTATGCAGACATAGTCCCTGCCCCTCCCTTGGGCCTGATCATCTCCGGGGAGGATCTGAATGTGCACATTTGGTGGCTATAATTCTTTCCTCTTTTTATAGCTTCTGTTGGAAAGGCTCCAGTCCCAAAGGATAGCTTGACTCCGAAATTTGGGTTCTTTTTTCTTTGAAGACCATCAAAGCCCTGCTGCTGAGCCTTGAGGGGTTCACCCCTGAGGTTCTGGAAAAGAGCAAGATGTGGGGCCCTCATTACGAAGAAAATAAAAGCTCATGTTCTCGACCTCGAGTTGTTGCCTTGTTGACACAGATCGGTGTGTTTACTCCAGGTCTTCGAGACCCCTGGCTGTTATTATGAAGAAAGAAGACTTCTGGGCATAGACAGAACCACGGGAAAAATAAGAATTGTCATCTACTGAGCTCCATCAGTCAGGCACTGTACTAGGTTCTTTACATTATGGTACCTCAGACAAAGACTTGGTGACGCCGCTGTCTCTGTTTTACAGACGAGGAAACTGAGGCTCAGATATATTAAAGAGCCATCTGAGGTTGCAGCAGAATTGAAACCCAGTTCTCCTAAAGACAGCTGGACCCATCCCAGGGAGCTTTGGGGAATCCACCAGACGATGGGAGTGGAAGGGACCGTGTTCCCAAGTGGCCAATGGGAAAAAGCATTAAACCAGAATAAGGGAGGCAAAAAGCAAAGCCCTTCATCTCAAAATTCATGAGTCGCAGTGAAAATGTTTAACCTTCACTGTGAGTTTTCCTCTCCTCTCTGAGACCAGAACCCGGGTCCTGGGGCATCTTAGGGAGGGGAGGCTCTCCCACAGGTTGGGGCTATTGCACTCTTTGGTGACTTCAGCACTGGGTGGGGCTGTGTCCCCTTGTTTAGTGCTGGTAGCTTCTGAAGTCCGTAGGGGACCCACAGGACGAGAGCTTCTGAGCCCCACCGTCACATATCAACACCTCCTCTTCCCCTCGGCAAACCAGCTGCCTGACCAGAGCCTACAGGTGTTCGTTCTCTCCGCCAGCACCGAGATGGATGGATGGATGATGCCAGGGGATGGCCATCGCCACAACAGTGTCTCCATAAAGAAGGAGCCGATTGCTCTTTTGAAATACAGGCAAAGTATGGGGGGAGTTAAGACCCTGGGTTCTGCCCTCCCTGGCCTTTGGCAGGAGGGACTTACTTTCTCTCGCTTCTGCTTCCTCTACCATCAAGCGGAGGTGGTGATAGAATACCTGAGAGGGCTGTTGGGAAGGATTCAAGGAATTGCTATGTCCGAAGCCGTTCGAACAGTGCCTGGTGCGTGATACTAAATGCCAGCTGTGATGATTTCCTCCCTGTGTAGTTACACATAGAAGTTCTAGGGGCTTTACAGAAACGCACATTAAACTGTCACTTACAGGTATTAACTCCATTTGGTTGAGAGAAAATGCAAGTTCATAGAGGTTAAATGACTGGACTCTAGTTTTTATGAACTAGTTCAATGTTCTTTTCACTACATCAAATGCCTCAATTAAGATTAAGACAAATATACGTGTGTGTATATGTGTGTGCATGTGGTGTGTGTGTGTGTATTCTTAAGTGTGACCCTTTGCTGATAATCAAACATTCCCCATTTTCTATTATTTAAGAAATTAAATAGGATGTTTACTGTATTAAGAGCGTCTCACCTTCGGGAGTCTGTACTTTTCTCTGAGATGAACTCTGAGGCATGCCCTCTCTGCCTTTTTTTGTGTAAATGCAGCATCTCTTTCCATCCTAAAAGTAAAAGAATAGAATAAGGGATCAAAGGACTTAGAGGGTAGAGGACATTCCAGTCCCTGCACAGAGGAGCCGGACACTGGGATAAAGCTTCCTACGTCCCCAGACACCTGCCTCTCTTTCCGTCGTTCTCCTGTCTCCTGTTCCCCTAAATCCCAGAGATGGCTTGGTTCTGGGAATCTCCTTAGGATGCAGCCCAGGGAGGGGCAGAGTGACTATTCCTAGTATATAGTTGACCTCCCAGGGTTGCTCTAAATAGAACCTGGGGCCACAAACATCAGAGTCCCAGGGGATAATACCCAGCTGGGTAAGAATGCAGCTTCCTGGGTGTGATCTCAGACTGACTCATCAGAACCCCTGGGGGCGGATGAACGGAAGCTATGTTTTTAACAAGTTTCCTGAATGATTCTTAGTGAAGTGAAAACAGGGTCAGAGCATCCAGGGCTGGGGGGTCCTTTAGAGGCACATGGTATTTAGGGATGTAGAGAAAGCTGTTTCCCTTCATTGTCACCCCCTCCGGGCCCCAATTTTGGTACAGCGTTCCGTTCCCTGTTTGGAAGGAGGCACCCCCAAACGGGGTAGGGTAGATTTCCATAATGCTCTGGGGATGACCTAATTGGACTCAGGGTTAGGCTGGGTTGAAATGGACTCCCCTGCTCACAGTGACCGAGGCAGGAGCAGACAACCTTTGGGGCAGGTGCATTACGGGGGCCTCCATTTATACACACAGCCCTGCCCTCTGGCTGTACTAGACTGGCCCCAGCTGGGTACATGAAATCCTTTCTCTGAGAGTTTGGGACCGGGACCAAGAAAGACAGACATTCACTGGGAAAGGTGGACTTGGAGGCCGTAGGCTGCCATGTTCCCCAGGCCACGGGGTCAGGGTGGCACGGTGAGGAGCGGTGACAGCTGAGAGGCAGGAACAAAAAGCAGCCATACTGGGGACAGGAGTGACGGCAAGAGCCAAGAAGGAGCTCACGGCTGGCTTGCCACATTATTCTGGTTCCTAGGTTAGGCCCCTGTGAGGCCTGGTGGGTTTTCTTTTCTTTTTTTTTTAATACTTAAATTATTTATTTATTTATTTATTTATTAAAGATTTTATTTATTTATTTGACAGAGAGAGAGAGACAGCGAGAGCAGGAACACAAGCAGGGGGAGTGGGAGAGGGAGAAACAGGCTTTCCGCAGAGCAGGGAGCCTGATGTGGGGCTCAATCCCAGGCTCCCGGGATTATGACCTGAGCCAAAGGTAGACTCTTAATGACTGAGCCACCCAGGCACCCCAAATTATTTATTTATGGAGAGAGAGTGTGAGCCAGTGGTGGGGAGGGGCAGAGAGAGAATCTCAAGCAAATGGAGCCTGACACAGGCCTAGATCTCACGACCCTGAGATCAGGACCTGAACCAAAATCAAGAGCCGGACCCTTAAACGACTGAGCCACTCCCAGGTGTCTGGCCTGGTGGGGTTTCTGCTGAGGGGTTTCGTGAAGCATCGTTGCATGAAGGATTATTTGCATTAAAATAAATTCCGTTTTCATTTTTCAGGTGGCTAAATTGGTTTCTGTTTCTTAACTTCACGGTTTGAAATCCTCTTCAGGGCGCCTGGGTGGCTCAGTTGGTTAAGCAACTGCCTTCGGCTCAGGTCATGATCCTGGAGTCCCGGGATCGAGTCCCGCATCGGGCTCCCTGCTTGGCAAGGAGTCTGCTTCTCCCTCTGACCCTCCTCCCTCTCATGCTCTCTGTCTCTCATTCTGTCTCTCTCTCAAATAAATAAATAAAATCTTTAAAAAAAAAAAAAAAAAAGAAATCCTCTTCACCACCACACAGAAGGCTGCCTGAAGGAGGGGCCGATCTGAAGCGAGCAGATTAAACTACTGTGCCCGGGGCCCTGAGCACAGGCGCCCCCTGAGTGCCCTGCCTGCCCCCCCGCCGCTGCCAAGGTCAGGCCCAGAATAAGCACCAGATAACACTGGCCCATCTTCTGGATTTGGAGAGCGAAACAGAGTAAGTGACTTGCCTAAGAGATCAGTGACCCAGGACTTAGGCAGAAGCAGATCTTTTCTCCCCAGTATTTTACTACGAAAAATTTTAAACATACAGAAAAGTTGGAAGAATTTTACAGTGAAACCCACATACTCAACATCTAGATTCTACAATTAGCGTCTTACTGTACATGTTTTATCACATACCTTTCTCTCTATGCATTCATTTATCCGCCTTATCTTTTGAAGTATTTCAAAGTTGTAGACACCAATACTCTTTCCCCCAAACACTTCAACACGAATGCCATTCGCTACAGAGACGTACTTGTTTGCGGCTCTTTTTTTTCTTTTGAAGTAAAATCTGTGTACAATTCAACGCACAGAGCTTCCATGTACTGTGCTGGTTAATTTTATGTGGTGACTTGACTGGGATGCAGGGTGCCCAGATTAAACATGATTTCTGGGTGTGTCTGGGAGGGTGTTTCCAAATGAGATTAGCCCTTGAATCAATGGACTGAATAAAGCAGATTGCCCTCCTGGTGTGGGTGGGCAGCATCCAATCCATTGAGGTCTTGACTAAAAAGAAAAGGCAGAGAGGAAGGGGGAATTCTCTCTTTGCCTGTCTGCTGGAGCTGAGATCTCAATCTTCAGCCCTTGGCTAGGACTTACACCATCAGCCTTCTGGTTGAGAAAGACACCAGCAACTTTCCTGGGCCTCCAGCTTGCAGACAGCAGATAGCGGGACTTCTCAGCCTCCGTAATCACATGAGCCAATCCTTATAATCAATCTCCTGTACACGTATATACACATACACATACGTGTATGTCTTTCTCCTATTGGTTCCGTTTCTGTGTGTAACCCAAACCCCTATTAAGATAACGAAAAACGGTACTATCACCTGAGAAATTTCTCTCTTCTCCATGCCCAGTTAACACCTGCTTCCCAGTCACTGTCCTTTATCCTCCAGAGATTGGTTGTGACTGTTCTAGAACTTTCTATAAATGGAACCATAACCTACACATTCTTTTGTATAAGTCTTCTTTTACTCAGCATAAAAAACTTTTGAGATTTATCCAGGTGGTGTTATTTATCAGTGGTTTGTTCCTTTTTATTATTACTGAGTGCATTGTCCTGTATGAATATGTCATGCTTGTTTATTCATTCGCCCGTGGATGGACTTGGACTATTTCCCATTCAGGGCCACTGTCAATGAAGTTGCTATGAATACTTTTGTCTAAGTCTTTTTGTGGACATACATGTTCAGTTCTCTGCGGTAAATATCTAGGCATGGCACCACTGAGTTGCAGGGTAATTTGGTTGAGTGAGTTTAGTTTTATAAGAAACAGCCTGACTTCTTCCCAAGTGGCTGTACCATCTGATGTCTCATCAAATGGAAAAAAAATTCTTAAGTTGTTCCACATTTTGGCCAACATTTGGTATTATGTCTTTTTAATTTTAGCCATTCTGCTGTGTGTAGTGGTACCTTAGTCTGATTTTAATTTTCATTTCCATGATGACTAATAATATCAGATGGGTTTTTTCATGTACTAATTGGCCGGCCGTTTGTGTATCTTTATGAAGTACTTGTTCAACGCTTTTTGCCCTTTTTTTTTTTGCTTTTATTATTGAGTTGTAGAAATTCTGTATATATTCTAGATCCCAGTCCTTTGTCAGGCATGTTTTGCGAATATTTTCTTTCAGTCTGTGACCTGCCTATAAGTATTCTCTCTCTCTCTCTTTTTTTTATTTGTCAGAGATAGACAGAGAGAGAGAGCATAAGCAGGGGGAATGGCAGGCAGAGGGAGAAGCAGGCTCCCCACTGAGCAGGGAGCCCAATGCAGGACTTGATCCCAGGACCCTGGGACCATGACCTGAGCCGAAGGCAGACGCTTAACTGACTGAGCCACCCAGGTGCCCCGTAAGTATTCTCTTAATGGTGTCTTTTGACGTACAAGAATTTTCAACTTTGATAAAGTCTACATATTTTAAAATTTTATGGTTATTGCTTTCAGAGTCATGTTTAAGAAATCTTTGCCTACTTTCAAGTTGCAAAGGTTTTTTTTTCTATGCTTTATAATTTTAGCTTTTATGTTCAGTTCTGTGATGCATATCAAAGTTCAAGTAACAGGGATGCCTGGGTGGCTCAGATGGTTGGGCGTCTGCCTTCGGCTCAGGTCATGATCCTGGGGTCCTGGGATCGAGTCCTGCATTGGGCTCCCTTGCTCCTTGGGAGCCTGCTTCTCCCTCTGCACCCCCCCCTCTCTGTCTCTCATGAATAAATAAAATCTTTAAAAAAAAAGTTCAAATAACAAATGGTATGATAGCAGTTATTGTACCATAACTAAGGTAAAGGGACATTTTACTATTATTGAGAAAAATGGAGGGATCAATGGACTGTTGTTGCATTCTAGGTGATGAAGCTATTGAAAACTCAAGCAACAAACTGGAAGTCATGCCTCTTGCCAGAAGCAGGCTGACCCCATTGCCCTGCTACTATTTCTTAAATTGGGTGACTACATAAATTGATAACATTCACACACACCCACCCCCCACCCCCCCACCCCCCCTGCCAACACACACACAGCCAAGTAGTTGGCAAATAACCCAATCCACTGATTGACCACACCATTTGGGCATTCTGGCCTTTGATCTATCCAGATATAAAGTCAGGGAAAATTAGGACATTAGTTAATCAAACAGATGCCGTATCTGTGAGCAGATGTATTGCTTGGACCTCTTATATGATATTTTACACAATCAGATGTATAGTCTAAATTTCTGGCCAGTTTCTTTTTATTCGCTCACTTGAGCTGAGAACATTTGGTGCTATCATTCTGCTTGTTTCCTCATTATACTTGTTTTTTGTTTGTTTGTTTACAAGCCCTAGGAGAAACTAGCTTATATGCAAGGGATGCTGTTTCTTTTGCCTGTGTTTTATTTTAGCACCAACATCATGTGTGCAGTTGTATTTATTTTTTAAACTGACTTTAATTGACTGCAGAGCCAAGTGTAATACATTCTAGGTAGTTTATAAGCTACAATTTCTTTCAGAGAAAATACAATAGACAAAGTTTCCATTAAATGTAAGCCTTTGTACTTTCTTAGTTTCCTCCAGGTCATCAACCTTTCACTTATAATCATCTTAGCAATAGGACTTAGGCCACTCTTATGTAATTGATCATTAGCAAAAGAGCCATGATGGCAAAAAGAAATACTCTTATTAAATGAGAAATGCTTTTTTTTTTTTTTAAAGTAGGCACCATGCCCAAAATGGGGCTTGAACTCAAAACCCCGAGATCAAGAGTCGCATGCTCTACCAAATGAACCATCCAAGTGCCCCGAGAAATACTTTTAATTAATACTTAAAAAAAAACGATGAACATTTAACCTCAAGATTGAGGCTTCAATTCTTCATTGTTATGAAAAGACTCTTAGGGCGCCTGGGTGGCTCAGTCGTTAAGCGTCTGCCTTCGGCTCAGGTCATGATCCCAGGGTCCTGGGATCGAGCCCCGCATCAGGCTCCCTGCTCAGCGGGAAGCCTGCTTCTCCCTCTCCCACTCCCCCTGCTTGTGTTCCCTCTCTCACTATCTCTCTGTCAAATAAATAAATAAAGTCTTAAAAAAAAAAAGACAAGTTATTCTACCTTAAAATCTAAAAAATTACATATAGATTAAAGATCAGTCTGCAGCAGTGAAAAATTGTGGGTGATAGTCATATTCCACAATGCCCAACTGTTACTGATGTTTTGTTTTTATTTTACATAGTCAGGAGAATGTCCTTATGTAGCCAGGAGAATGTTCTTATTTCTTGGAGGTACATTGCTGAAGTATTTAGGGGTGAAGTACCATGATGTATTTACTTTAACTTTACACTTATTTAAAAATGCCTCTATCTATCTATCTATCTATCTATCTATCTATCTATCTATCTATCTATCCATCCATCCATCCATCCATCCATCCATCCATCCATCCATCCACCCAACTAACCATCTATAAGCAAATACAACATGTTAACTGTGACTTTATTCATAGGTTTATATGGGTGTTCATTATACTGTTCTATTTTCTGTACCTTTAAAATTTCCATAATAAACAGCCCACAAATTTATTCACAGTTTTTGTGAAGCCGAGTCTTATGACCTAATCCTCTTGTTGTGCTTTCTAGGGTTTTCGCACACGTAAGAGAAAAAAGATTGCATGGTGTGCGCTTCGAGGCCCTCTTCCAGGTGCAAAATCTGAATTCTTGAGTTTGAAACCTTTCTATGTGCTAGGAGGGTGAGTTTGGGGAAGACTGTAGAGTTAGGCTCACCATTGTTCATTTGAACATTTCAACCGAGGTTAACTGAAATGAACCTAGACCAGAAAAAGTGTTAAGCCGCTTTTAGAACGACATATAGATTCGTTCATTGTCTCTTGCCACCATCCCTACAAGCAGGACATGGTACCTGCTGCGGCGAGGAGATGGTTCATGGAGCAGAACACACGTTCCTAAGGTCAGAAGCAAGCAGCACAAGAACATGCATCTAAACAGCAAAGCAAAAGAGGTCGGGGAGCTGAAGAAGGTATGGCCAGAATTCATTTCTTTTGGTTCTGAGAGGGAAAGGGAGCCGCGGGTACTCACTTCTCCTCAATCATTTGCTTCTGATATTCCTCATACTCCTCTCTAGTCATCCCTTGAGCTGCTGCAGGATCCGATGTGCCTCCTTCTTCTTTTTTTTCTTCAGACCCGCCACCGAATCCTAAATTCTTTACCTGGTTACTTATCATAGTTTTCATGAAGAAAGCCATGGTTTCTGCCCCCAGAAAAATAAAACCAAAACTCAGATGAAACGTGAAGAAGAGAGAGAGAAAAAAAGACAAAATCTCCAAATATCCCCAACGACAGCAATGCACTTAAGAGAAGAGGACTTTGCACGGCCTCATCTAATCAAGGGCATGATGATAGAGAAGAGTGGTTTGCGGGCTGTAAGCTGGATTAAAGAGATGAACTCCTTAATATAGGGAGGCAGATGGTTCAGATTACTAAGGCATACAGTCAGATGCAACTGACTGCTTTCTGAATTAATACACTAAGCTAATTTCAGAGGCAAAAAAATCTCTCACATTGTCTACTCCTCTCCCTACCCATTTCTAAATTTGAAATTATAAGCGCAGCAGGGCTTCATCAAGAGTCCTGTTTCAATTAATCAGAGCTGACTGACTACATGTCTGTAATGGAATGTCCAAATTCCAGCCCTTGAGCACAACATCCTGTTGAAAACGGAGTCCAGTGAAGCTCAAAACGCCAAATGCTTCATTAAGCAAAAATAATCCTTTGATCCATCATTTTATCTCATTGGACTCTTAAGTACTATGCAAGGATTTGCCTTTTGGTGTGCTTGAGTTGTGCCCTGCTTCTGTGGTTCCCGTGGCCCATACATCAATCCTCAACTGAGGTAAGTCTAAAGGGCGAGCCAGCGGGCCCTTGACTTAGATCTGGAAGATCACCTTAGCCTTCTCCTGCACTGACATGTTACATCTCTGCTTGGAAATGAAGCACCAGACACTTTCAGTGCTCGAACCCACAAGGTAAGCACAACGTGAGCTAAATCACCCACGTGGAACGGGGTCACCTTTCCCCCCTTACACTGGGTCCACTTCCTGGGGTCTCTGTTCATGCTCACTGGTGTACTCCAATCAAACTTTTGACAATGTTTTCTAACACGCAGCACATTTTCAGTGGCTGTGGTTTTCTTCAGGTCAAGGGAGGAATTGAGTATGGCTAAGACTTTAATCTGTTAGTATCTTTCTAATTAAAGCACTCCAAGAGGGGGTGGGGCGGAGAAAGAGATGTAGGCTCTTTGTAACCTGGGCTTGTTAATTTGTCTGTAGGCATGGGCCCCTCAGATCGTACAGAACTGGGTAATGGTTAATAATTCCCTTTTACTAACCTATTTAAAGATGTTGCTAAAATGATCTCAGCGGGAAAGACTGCAAAGGGTCAGGATGAGATAGGAACTGAGCCGAATGCTCCGACCAAGGGCGCGCATTCATACTGGCTTCACTTTCACTTTTAGAGGCACTGCCTAGAACTTAGTGCATTTGGACCATTGTCCCTACACTTCCATTTCGAACCCACCAGGTCTCCTCTCCTCTCGCACTGAGGGGTGTTACAGAGCCCGTTAGCTGACGGGGTAAAACTACAGCCTGGGATTCCGTGTTGTGTTTGCTCAGGTCAGCCCGACTCTCCTTTAGAAAACACTGCAGTGTTTCATGAGATTAAAAACCACTTAAAAAAAAGATTTTATTTATTTGTCAGAGAGAGAGAGAGGGCACAAGCAGGGGCAGTGGCAGGCAGAGGGAGAGGGAGAAGCAGACTCCCTGCTGAGCAGGGAGCCCGAAACGGGGCTCCATCCCAAGACTCTGGGCTCATGACCTGAGCCGAAGGCAGACCCTTAACTGACTGAGCCACCCAGGTGTCCTAAAACCACTTTTATTTCCCAAAGAGAAAGAGGATCTGCCTAACAGTGCTCTTCCGAAAGCGGAATCCCTAGTTACTTTCCAGTATGGATGTGGGGGAGGGGGCAATCTAGCATCACAGAGACCCTTAGGTAGTAGCTACATGGGTGCAGCAGCTGGATATCGATACTGCTGTTTCCTGAAATCAGATCTCTCATGGTCTTCCCAGTAGATAATTCCATTTGAAGTGGGATGTCTTTAAAATCTCTTTATTCCTCAATTTATTACAATGGCCTCTCCACTTGGACATCCAATAAACTATTTGCTATGCGTAGAGTCTTTTATTCCTCCAGAAAAGGAAAATAAATATCCCAAGATTTGTGACATGGGGCAACCAAGTATAACCCCTCAAAGGCTTCTCATCATACCTGAATAAAGTCCCAAATCTTTACTACGGCAAGGCAGGCAAGGCATATCCGCAATGCCCCCAGTGAACCGCGTAACCTCTGACCAGGGTCTAGGCTTGACCTACACGTAGTCTGGTCTCCACCACCCCTCGCCCTCCCAGCAGGCTCGCTGATCAGGCATTATGTCATTTCCTCTGATTTCTTTCAAACCCATCTAATTTATTTAAATCTTTTATTTCATTCCATCCTGTAGTTCTCTGTGTTATAGCAGAAGAGAGTCGATTACCATTTTCTGAAACCACTTTACAATGCTACCAAGCCTGTGAGAGAAATATTATAAGGAAACTGACAATCATGTTCAGTTAAGTGGCAGATCCAAGATTTAAACCCAGCTTTGTCGGACACCAAAGCCCCCTTCTTTCCTTTTAATACTGCATGGGCTCTCAAAATTGGAATTACTTGGTTAAATAAATGGTTCTTGCCAAGAAGATTAAAGTACTTTTAAAAACTGCCATTAGTAATGATGAAGAGTTCCAGCTTAACTACGCTTTTACCAGTATTTGGTTTATTAAAGGTGAAAAGATCACATACACTGTCTTAATTAGTTGGTGTTGATCATCACCAGCAAGGGTAAGCGGTACCCATTATCATTCCTACTTCGCTCTCTCTGCTTCCATGCGCTGATGCTGCGTGTGGTAGGGCCACCCTAGGGCACAGCGTGCAGCAAATGACAAATGAGACAGGATCACAATCCAGGCCTACTTGGAAAATAAATGACTACTTGCTACCCGAGATCAATGAAGGAAAAAGTAAATTTACTAAAATATTTCTTTATTTGTTAAGGTCAATGTCATTTCTTGAATTCCAGCTAGCATCAAATAACAGTCAGGAAAAAACGCTTGACAAAATGTTATCCAATTGAAATTAACAGTGGATAGAAAACCCTTTTAAACTTTAAAAGAAATATATTAAACGGGCAACATACAGATCTAAAAAACTGCAAGTGGTGATTTTACATTAGATCTTATAAATAAAAAAATCCCCCATATAATCGTTTACTCACTATCTCCCTGCAATAAGCACATGGACAGGAAAAGATAATCACATCTTAATATTCACAACTGTTACTTAAGTTCTTTACAAAATTGTATCTCTGCAACGCATAGGGTCAGGCAATCCCTTATTCAAGTAATTTTTTCTCCCTAAGTTATCAAAAAAGTACAATTGTCTGAGATAAAATGTCACAAAAATCACAATCAGGAAAGCAAAATGCTTTAGAAGGCAGACTTTGAGATGGGCAGTTTTCATGGCCTGACCATGATCTGATGATTTTGTAAGTTTAAAAGCCATCAACCAAAGTACCAAGAGCTACAGGCAACAATCTGGGTTTAGTCTGGTTGTTAACAAACCAAGAGTTTTAGTAAGAAGAACATTAATTGTAAGAATAAACAAATCAGTGCACATTTGCTAATGTCATCGAAAATGAAAATGGTATATTCAGCTTTAAACCAACAAAACAAAATACTTGTTTTTCCCACTCCCCATCTTAGTGGTTCTCAGACACTAGTGTGCTCAGAATCACCTGGTGCTTGTTAAAAAGTGATATTCTGAAGCCCCGCCCCTGAATTTTGATTCAGGTGGTTTGGAATGGAGGCCTGGAATCTGTATGCTTCACAAGCACACCATGACCCACGGGCCACACTTTGAGAAACACTGATGTCCCTTTAATACATAACAAAACATTGTTTATTGTTTGTGGCTTCTTACTAAAGTTTCAAGCTGAATAAAACATTCAAACAATTAGAACACAAACAGGTACATTAAAAAAAAGTATTAGCCGTTATGTCATTGGATTTCTTTCTAAAAGTGGTATCACAGGAACAATGACTTACACTAAAATTTTAAAATCAATTTTGTTTTAATCCAAGGCACCTGTAAAATACTTGCTGGTGTGAGAGAAGGTAACAAATTTAATTACACAAAACAGTCCAGAAATGAAAGAATCCTGGCAGTGATCGATTTTTCCACAGAGCAAACATTTTTTTCAGAAATGAGCTACTTAAAGTCAATGACTTTGAGGAAAATAAACAGAACTTCAAAGAAAATGATGAATAGCCTGCGCGAACTGCTTTACTGAGTGATCTTCAAGTAAATTAAATTACTAAGTAAAAAAGAAAAAGATTCACACATTTTCGTAATAGCTCTCTCCACCTGACTTAGTAATGGTCAGCACCATTCCTCTCAAATTGTCGTCTGTTCTGTCCACTGCACACATACGTCTGGTGTCCCCTTAGTCCGTTCAGGCATACAAGACCACGGAGTTTACAACACTGGATATTTTGCAGCCTTTTATCTCAAGAGGACTTCCCAACTTTCACAGCCCACAACTTAATATTCTTCTGAAGGTTTTTTTTTTTTCTCCCATAGATTAAGAGCAAATTCTCTGATGATGTCTCTGGAACATGAATTTCAAAATGTGAATACCACAAAGGAGAAACACCAGAGAAGCATTTTCTCTGTTAAAGTGACTGAAGTAGAGTAAGTCATTAGAATATTCTTATTCAGCATTCCAGGATAAACCCTAATATAAATTATAAAGCAATGCTAGGCCTGTTTGCGTACACAGTACGAAGTAGGTGCTGCTATAATGCAGAGTGCCTCATAGTCTCTGTATAGATTTTAGGCCGTTAGCCCAATCTGTCAATGACATTTGAGAACAAATTCATGAAGATTTGGAAGAATGAAATGGTACTGTTTTATAAAACAGTATAACTTGTTTTGGATTCTATGACAAATGAAAGATAACTACTTAGCTAAAAGAGGTAAAAGAGTATTTTGAAGTCAGCAAAAACATAGGTCTACATCAGCTGTGAAAACAACATGAAGTCTGCATTTTAAAATGTCCTTTACAAACTGATTCTATAACACCTAGGACAACTATGTACAAAGACTACAACCACCCTTTCCAGTCTGACATTTCAAGGTTAAGCTTCCTAATAAGTGCTTCACAATATCGTTAGTTCTGGCATTAAAAAGAAAGAAAGAAAGAAAGAAATCAGAAGTATTAATTCTATTTTTCAAATTTTGTCTTCAAACGTCTTAACACTGCTTCTACTCCAGCCTCCTTGACTTAAACAACACCAGATTGTATGGAGTGATGTAAACCAAAATGCAGTGGCAGATTTTTTGGCGAACTTAAAATCTCCTCAGGACATGCACTCTGAGCTGAATTTACATACTATACAAAATGGGAGAAGTAAGTTCCTTAAATTACAAACATAAATCCAAAAATTATTTTCATACTATGGAACTGATACTATTGGCATGGAGACATTCACGAATATGAGCAGTCATGAACTGAGCACATTACCAGGCAGAACCATAAAAACCATTATGAAAGGAACATTTTCACCTTAATGGTTTTTCAGGCAAAGAGCAGCTATTAATTTTCCCCCAAAATTTCCTTTAAAAGTGAAATGTATCATTGATAATCAGAGGGAAAGATACTTCAACATTCTCAAGCCTGTTATCTAGATCCTAAAGCTCTCAGACAAAATATTTTTTGATTTCAAAGGGAATTGTATTAGATAAAAGGACTGCTGGACAGGGTCTTAGAGTAGGAAATTCTGACCTCTAAAAAAAAAGACTCTGGTTAAACATGACGGGGAGCTCTAAGTTAGACCACATAGCTTGGGGGGTAGGAGGGCAAGTATATTTATGTTAAGTAAAGAAACGTCCAACACTGGAGACTTAGGGGTAACTTTCACATCTCGGGGCTGCCCCTCGTTTCTATTATTTACTGTCTTATTTATCAATATTCTGTTCAGTGGCTGTATTCTACTGGCCAGAAATTCACTGAAATTTAAATAGATTTATGTACTATGCACAAATTTACATGTGGTTGTCTTTGTTTTAAGGTTTATTCTTACTGCAAATCAATGTTTAAACATTTTATACAAAATTTAATAATTTAGACTATGAAGCAATTTAAATACTTAAATTCCCTCAAAAAGACATTCTGTACATACATACATGATGTACACATATGAAAATGGTGGTCAAAAGAATTTTTTGGCAGCTGCTTCTTGCTGAGTCCTAAGGAAAAAGAGAAAGAAAAAAAATCTGAAAGTTCTATATATTTTACTTCAGAAAGAAACGGGAATGCTTAGAATTGAAATATACAGTGCCTTTCGAAGTATAAAATGCATTAAGATAAGCATACTTTCTATACATGCACTCCCACGTGACTGAAATAGACTAGAAATAACACTTGCTTTGTGTTAAACCGATTTTTAAAAGTACTGAAAGTTGTTACACATATAGGTTACTTTGAATATTTAAAATTAAACAAATACAGAAAAGCGTTAAGCCAAATTTTAGACTTACCTATACATGATGTAACCAATGAATAACACCGTTTGTATCACTACAAATATAACGAAGTGCATCATAGATAAACATGATGGAAAAGGTGGCAGTTCCGGGCATTTTGGTCTTTCATTTGATGGCTATAAGGCAAAGAACTATTACAATTAGTCAAAGTGGTATTTTAGAAAAATAAATAAATGTGAAACCTTTATTAAATTCATGGTTAACTACATAAACTCAAGATTTTCATTTATTTGTCCCGTAAATATCTTCCACCCACTTAACTTTTTACCCTTTTTTTTTTTAAATAAAGATTACTTATTTACTTTTTTGGTAATCTCTATGCCAAACGTGGGGCTCAAACTCACAGCCCCGAGATCAAGATTCGCATGTCATGCTGACTGAACCAGCCAGACACCCCCACCACCGAACTTTCTGAAAGAGTAGTTGACACTGGAAGGCCTCTACCTTCACGGTCCAGTCACTAACACACTGCCATCTGGCTCGAATCTTCAGCACAATGATGATGATTTTTTGTGTTCCTGATGGTCACAGACCACGAATTCCCTGAACACACCCAGTTTATACTTGCTGTACTACAGTGATTATTAATAATACCCCTTTATTCTCAAAAGTGTTCTGGTTCAGTCATGGTCACCCCACCAATGAACTGCCTGACAAATATAATGGCTTTTTCTTAGCCCTCATCCTCCCCAACCTCCTAGCATCCAACATTACCAATTAGTATTTTGAAAAATGTTTCTTTTCCTATTTCCATGGGTATTCTTTCTATTTTAAGGGGGTAATTAAATACCAGGGACAAAGATTTAATCAAGGTATCCAGACAGAACAGCTTCTCGGATTGGTTGTTCTCAGTATGTTTCCATCCGTGGGACAACGCCCTGCAGTACACACACACCTCCCACAGCTGTAACACAGGCCCAAACTGGGAGAGAATAACCGCAAACAGAACTCGGAATAGACCACAGTGCTTTGGATGACAGGTAATGGTTAACTTAAGGAAACTCTTAACTCATATTTGAAAAATATGAATATCCAAGACATACATAAAAATATAGATTTGGCAGTATCCGAAAATGTAAAGGAGACAAGATTACATGTTAAAGACCTAAGTACTTCCCTTCTACCACTTACTAGTTAATGACCTCTGGAAAGTTATTTAACAACATATTAACTTTCTTTCCTAAAGGATAACAGATATTTTTAAAAAACTTTTGAAGATACAAAGCTCCACATAACCTATAAGGTACTAGGACTTCTGGGAAGGTAGACTGGGTAATATGGACCAACCACCTAGCAGAAGACAACTAGCAGAGCTAGAAACAAATCCAATCTAAAACAAACAACACCTGTCTGAAGGCAAAGGCAGTGAACAAAATGGCAAGAAAAGATGGGATCAGCATTTCGGGGGGGGGTTCGGGGGGGAAGGCCAAAGAAAGACAAGTTCAAACCCATGGATCAGAGAAGAAATTGAAATGGAAATTAGAAAGGGCCCCAGTGTGGTTCAGTCAGTTGAGCGTGGGACTCTTGGTTTTGGCTCATGAGCTCAGGGTTGTGGGATCGAGCCCCGTGGCAGGCAGAACTCAGGCTGGCTAAAGACTTTCCAAATTTAATGACCATTATAAACTCACAGAACCAAGATATTAAACCCCAAGCAGATGAAAAAGGAAACAAAAGCAAAGCATATCATAATCAAACTGCTGAAAATCAGTATCAGAGAGAAAATCTTAGAAGTAGAGAAAAAAGACACATTAGGTACAGAGAAACAAAAGACTGATTTCTCATGAGAAATGATAAACTATGATACAGTCACATAATGGGGTTCATGCAGCTGTAAGAGGAATAAGAAGTATCTGTATAGGGGCGCCTGGGTGGCTCAGTTGGTTGGGCGGCTGCCTTCGGCTCAGGTCGTGATCCTGGAGTCCCAGGATCGAGTCCCGCATCGGGCTCCCTGCTCGGCGGGGGGTCTGCTTCTCCCTCTGATCCCCCCCCTCTCGTGTTCTCTGTCTCCCATTCTCTCTCTCAGATAAATTAAAAAAAAAAAAAAAAGAAGTATCTGTATACCACTATGGCCACCCTGGTAAGTCAAAGAAAGCAGAGAGAAGATAAATGTGTACAGTCTGCTACTATCTGTAAAAATATAGTTTCTGTTTATACTAAGAAAAGCAAGAAACAGTGGACAGAGAAACTACAGTCCCTTCAGATTGTTCCCCAATAAGGAAGAAATAAAAAGCACAAGTGTAAAAGTTAGCCTTCTTTGAATCTATCTTACTCTGTAGATGTGAGAAACCATCTGAGCTTTAGTCTAGATACAAATTTACAGGAAATTTACATTGAGTATAATTATCCATAGAGTTGGGTTCATAATTACCATCCTGTTACTTATTTCCCATTTCCTCAATCTGTCCCCAGTCTTTTAGAGCTATTCGATATAGTCCTGCAAGAACAGCCTTGAGCATACCGGGTTTTGTTTTGTTTTTCTTAAGGTTTATTTATTTGAGAGAGGAGGAGGAGGAGAGAGAGAGAGCACACATGGGAGTCAGGAGAGGAACAGAGGGAGAGAATCCTCAAGCAGACGCCCCACTGAGCAGAGAGCCCGATGTGGGGCTCCATCCCACAACCCCGAGATCGTGACCTGAGCTGAAATCAAGAGCCAGATGCTTAACCAGCTGAGCCACGCAGGTGCCTCTAGGTATCTGGGGGTTTTTTTTTTGCCAGTGTATCTGTAAAAAATGCTAGGTTCAATAGGCAAATGAATGTGTATTTTTACCATACATTGTTAAATTCTCCTTCCTAAGGGTTGTGTCATCTTGTACGCCCTCTAGCAATGTATTTTCCTCTAGCCTTGGCAAAGGAGTATGTTGTCAGACTTTGGCTTTTCGTCAAACAGGTGTGGTATCACAGGAGAGTTTTATTTTTCATTTCTCTTGTTATTTAAGTAGCTTCAGCATCTTTTCACATATGGTACAAGCTTTTCCCACGAACACTGTTCATTTCTCTAGCACATTTTTGGTTGGGTTGCTCCACAGCAAATTTTCAGTGTTGGTCATTCCAAGGAGATTGGACTGGAAAGGGAAGAGGCAAATGCTACAAGCTTTTGTGAATTTTTTTCTTTTTAAAGATTTTATTTATTTATTTGACAGAGAGACACAGCGAGAGCAGGGACACAAGCAGGGGGAGTGGGAGAGGGAGAAGAAGGCTTCCCGCTGAGCAGGAAGCCCAATGCGGCGCTCGATCCCAGGACCCTGGGACCATGACCTGAGCCGAAGGCAGACTCTTAATGACTGAGCCGCCCAGGAGCCCCACATTTGTGAATTTTATAAGGGCTTTGGAAGCCAGTAAATAAGTTAAGGAAAAATTTAAAACTGAAAAACTTAAAAGTACCACAGGTCTGTTATCTAATACTGTCTCTTATGCATATTTAACTTTGAAAACATGTTACCTATCTTTAATATTTATGGCCAATCTCTAAAAAAGTAGATGGGGCTTATACTTAAAAAAAAAAAAAAGGCCTGATAAACTAAACCAAAATCAAAACCAAACAAAAAAAAACTTTTAAAAAAGTGAACCAAGTAAGAGAGGAAAAGTTGCTGGAAAAAGAAGAATCTTGCTTAAAGAAAGAGGCTACCAATCATCCAGTGTCAGACCTGCGCTTCCTCAGAGGCCAGACAGAGAAGTGGGAGCTACCCAGCGTCTGTCTCAGTAAAGGGTCAAGAGATGTTCACCCCTTTTGGGGAAAGATTTTATTTATTATTTAATTTATTTATTTGGCAGAGAGAGAGAGCAGGAGAGCACAAGCAGTGGGAGCGGCAGAGGGAGAGGGAGAAACAGGCCCCCTGTCGAGCAGGGAGCCCGATGCGGGGCTCGATCCCAGGACGCTTAACCAACTGAGCCACCCAGGTGCCCCTAGATGGTCACCTTTTTAAAACTGTTTAAAGATATCATTACTGATAACAAGAGCCATTTTTTTTTTTTAAAGAAAATTTACAGAAAGAATCTAGAAAAAAGTCTGAGACTGTGACAGCTCCAATGGTAGGAATAGCAATGTATTTTTTAAAAATTCTATTCAATAGGGTATGGAGGGGCGCCTGGGTGGCTCAGTCGTTAGCGTCTGCCTTCGGCTCAGGTCGTGATCCCAGGGTCCTGGGATGGAGTCCCACGTCGGGCTCCCTGCTGAGCGGGGAGTCTGCTTCTCCCTCTCCCTCTGCCCCTCCCCCCTCTCAAATAAATAAATAAAATCTTTTTTTTTAAAGGTTGTATTTATTTATTTGACAGCGAGAGACACAGTGAGAGAGGGAACACAAGCAGGGGGAGTGGGAGAGGGAGAAGCAGGCTTCCCGCTGAGCAGAGAGCCCGATGCGGGGCTCGATCCCAGGACCCTGGGATCATGACCTGAGCCGAAGGCAGATGCTTAACGACTGAGCCACCCAGGCACCCAAACAAATAAAATCTTTAAAAAAAATTCTATTCAATAGGGTATGGAAACATGGAGCATAAAGACATTTGGATCATATGGAATAATTCTACCTTGAATATTAAAAATGAACATTAGGATTAAGTTAAAAGTTATAATATTTTCAGTAGAATATGTGTTCTTTCTTTTCTAAGGAAGACTGATGATGATAAAAGTAGAAGGCAAGAGCTTACCATGTTTCGCTGCACTAAGTTGTCTATGTCCCGCTTCACGATGTGAAGGTGCTCTTTGATGTCGTTGAAGTGCTGGGTTGACTCATAAACTCCCCCTGCAGATCCAGGATGCTGTATGCCACTGACCAGCCTGACAGTTTCACTCATGGAATTCCTGAAACAGAAAATCCCTTTAGACAAGGGAGTTGCTAGAAAAATGATTTTTTTCAGTTGCACATTTCAAAAGGTTAGATATATTTCTAAGCCCATTATATTAGATTAAAAAAATCAATATTTAGAAATACTGAATTGTATTCAGGATTGGAAAACAATTTATAAAACTACAGTTTATGGGGTGTCTGGGTGGCTCAGTCAGTTAAGCGTCTGCCTTCGGCTCAGGTCACAATCCCGGGGTCCTGGGATCGAGTCCTACATCAGGCTCCCTATTAGTGCGGAGCCTGCTTCTCCCTCTGTCTCTGCCCTTACTCATGCTCCCTCTCTCTCAAATATAAATAAATAAATAAATAAATAAATAAATAAATAAATAAATAAATAAAATGGAGAGGGAACTTTAGAATGAGAGTGCCACTCTTTACCCTCTCAGGAAATAATGGATTCAGGTTATGGCCGTGACCGCCACAAAAATTTGGAGGGGTTGAAGGGGGTACTTCATAATGAACAGTGCAGGCCGACAACATCCAGTTATTAATAACTGTTGCAACTGGGTGATGGAGTATGAGGGATGGCATTTATGCTCAATTTCTTTGTATGTTTGAAAATGTTTAATGAAAATAAAAATTGGCCAGGCATTCTGGTATGCTAGAAATAGCACCTGAAAGTGAGGCGATAATGAAACTACTTCTGACTGTTTTTATATTGGGACCTTTTATCAGTCAGGGGCCTTTTTTTCTTTATCTGTAAACTGAAGGGAATTGTACTACATGCTTTTGCTAAAAAAAACTTCTATGATTCTCTAAGGAGATGAAAATCCACAGACACAAACCACCTATTCCACAAAACGCAAATATTTCCTTTCTCTTCATAGTTTTTTTCTGAAGCCTAATCCAGAAGGAAAAAAGCTCTAGAGGATAAATTTAGAAATCTGAGTTCAGTTTTTACCTTAACTTATGGTATGCATGACATTCGTTCTCAATTAGTAAATGAGAGTTTATGAGGATTGCTAACTACTCTAAATAAGTGCTTTCATGGATAATACAGCCAGATGGCTAGGATTTACTAACCACTAATTGAATCTTAAGAAGAACTTCTAGTACCACTATTACGTGTAATAAGCAAAGACCAAGATTATCTAGAATATAACTACCATTCATGTAAGAAAGAAGGGGATCTAAGAAAATACATATGCGGAAAAAGTACAAGAAACCAGAAATGAATGGGATAGGTTAGCAACGGGGGGTGGGTGGGAAAAGGCTAGAAAGGGGGGAAATGGGAATGAGGTGGTAGTGTTGAAGAGGGAGTGACACTTCAGTGAACACATAAATTTCGACTCAGAACCTCTCAGAACCATCGTATTCAAGGAACCTTCATATACCCCAAATATACACAATTAAAATCAACCAGGATGTAGGAAGAATACAAATGCTAACAAAGAACCTAACTCTGTTATGAATGCATATCATAACAGTACTGAAGAGAGTGGGGAGAGAACTGAACTAAATCGCTGTCTGGAAAATAGTGTCTATATCACAAATTATAAGGTTAGACGCAAAAGGATCTTTATATAAATCCATCAGTAAATACGTTTCTCACGGGGATCTGAGTTAACAATCTGAAACCACTTTATGGGTACATTATGTGCACACTAAAATAAGTAAGTACATTACAGATAATAAAAACCAGGCTTCTCCCTCCTGGGGAAAGAATTTTCAAAGAAGGAAAGAAGGAGGGGAAAATCAACCCTATAATGTGCAGCCTAGTCTAGTCCAACCAGAATCCAAAATGTCTGGATAATCTCAGGGTCTTTTTAATACAAATGAGAGCGATGGGTACAAAAATAAAGATACGTGTGTATATGTGGGTTAGTAAACATTCATATATTCCCTAGCTCTGTCCACTGAGAGGGCCTAGGAGCAGAAGAACCACAGAGGGATTGAACACAGCTACTGCCCAGATCTTGGGTTTCTAAATACCTTTCTTCAAAAAAAGGAACCAGGGCTCACTGGAGAAGTGGTTGATTCTAGAGCCGGGGCAGAGAAAATACAAAATGAACCTGAAACACGGTGTAGCACCAAAAAGTAAAGAAATGGTTTAAAAAAAAGATGGGAGCTTGTTGAAAGAACACAGACGCCAACCTGGAGGAGTTCTTAATTACCAGAGCGGAGCAATTTGAGCAGTAAATAATGATAGTATGGGATTGTAACCCATACAATACATATCCATGAGCCTGTATGACATAAATAATTGATTAAATAAATAAATGGGGCAGAACAGAGCCGGTCCTTACAGAATTCCAATAAATACACGGGAAGGAATGATGAAAAGAGAAAAAAAAAAACAACCCAGCTTTTGGGAAATACCTCATTCTTGTTTCAGGCAAAATGTCAATGGATGCTACAATTAGCAAGCAAAAGTTTAAACTGAAACAGGATATTTATATCTTTACATAGTCTCTCAAAGTACCTTTTCCAAAATATAATTAAGCATCAAGGGAAAGACAGTAACTTTAAAGTACAGAAAGCAGGAAAAAGCCACCATAACCAAGTGATCCCAGCCAACGTGAACAGAAATAAGACATACTGACATCATGAACATGATACAGTGTTGTATTCTTGTCAAAAATGCAATCATGAGTAAACACCAGACAGACCCGAATCGAGAGACAGTGGACCAAATTAACTGCTCAATGCAGAAACTGTCATGGTCATGAAAGACAAGAGAAGACCAACTATTTCATACTGCAGAAATCTAAAGAGATAGAACTAAATGCAATGTGTGTTGCTGGATAGGATCATGGAACAAAAAGAAGGGCATGCATGGAAAACGGGTGAAATCTGGGTAAGATCATTAGTTAATAGTACTGTATCGCTGTTCATTTCTTGGCTCTGACAACTGTGCTATGGTTATGTAAGTTGTGAACATTAGGGGAAGAGGGAAAGGAATATATGGAAATTGTACTATTTTTGCAATGTCTGAAGTCTAAAATCAGATCAAAATAAAGATTTTTTAAAATAATGTCACATGATCCAGTCTATTTCTGAAAGAATTTTTTATTTTAAATTTTTTTTAAGTTTTTTTTTTTTTTTTTTTGAGACAGAGAGAATGACAGACAGATAGCATGAGTGGGAGGAGGGTCAGAGGGAGAAGCAGACTCCCTGCCGAGCAGGGAGCCCGATGCAGGACTCGATCCCGGGACTCCAGGATCATGACCTGAGCCGAAAGCAGTCGCTTAACCAACTGAGCCACCCAGGCACCCAAGAATTTTTTTTTTTTTAAGATTTTATTTATTTATTTGACAAAGAGAGCAAGAGAGCAAAAGTAGGGGGAGCAGCAGAGGGAGATGCAGAGGGAGAAGCAGGCTCCCTGCAGAGCAGAGAGCCTGACGCGGGGCTCGATCCCAGCACCCTGGGATCATGACCTGAGCCGAAGGCAGATGCTTCACTGACTGAGCCACCCAGGTGCCCCTATTTCTGAAAGAATTTAACTATTCACTTAGGATCATATTTTAATCATGAGTTCACAACTTAAAGATTTTAAAAAATGCGAGACAGTAAAAGTGAAAAGAAGTACCAATTTGCAGTTACAAGTGGGGCTGCCTTTCATCTCTAGGTGTGGATATTATCACCTTGTGTTTATTAACCTAATACTGTTTAATTTTCCAGTGCTAAAGAACTTACCTTGACATTCTTGTTTGTCAAGGGTTGTACTGGTTGGTGCAATGCTCTAAAAAGTTAGCTTATAAAATGTAACACTTTGGCTGTTTCTTTACTCTAGGCATTGAAAGCTGTTAATTATCTGCATAAGTGAACACTTTTTAGAAACTTATCATTCAAAGTTCCAAGGACACAGTAGCTCCTCTTTGTTCCAACCCTGTCCAGTCTCTCTTAATGGAATGGAAGAGAGGTGGTCATACATAGCATATCTCCTTGAAAATGGTTTCATTCCATCAAAAAGAAGTTCCTGCATCAGGCATGCTTGTATTACAGTTCTACAATGCTATGCATGCTTACCCTTCTAGGATTTTTCACAGAATTGTTATATATTACACATATTCTTTTTATTTTAGAAATACATGAATACTTCTGGCTGTCAAGTAGCTGTGACAAATGTATTTTTTTTAAAGATGCTAAAGCATTTTTTTCTCCTCTGGCTTAGAACAATTCAAACATTTAGGCCTACTGGCAGTTTCTGAGTATCAAAGGTTCCTGTACTTTCCACTCCCTGATTTATAATATGAATCTAGAATGTGATTCTTACCCTCATGGGGAATTCTTACAATAATAATGTGCTTGCACAGAGGGAGAGAGAAGCCATGAATTTTGGGTAAGTGTATCACCTAACACTTGGACATGACTTCTGTAGACTTACTTCATTTCATTTACTTGTCTCAGGATCTCGTGCTGAGTGTTCACAACAGTATCCAGCTCTTGTTGGGTGATCTGGAGGAAAACAGAAGAACCCAGTTCTGTAGGAACATATGGCGGAGTAGCCTGTCTTTCCTCCATGCGTCCTCCTCCACCAGAGGCTGCCTAAAGGCACACATGCTTATTTGCAAAGCTTACCTGTCCCTGCTGCCCTGGGACTCCTGATCCTCTTTTAGCGATCTCCTCTGTCAAGGAAGAGACGTATCTCCTCTGTTCATCAAGAATCATATCTAACTGTCGGTTCAGCTGCTTGATTTCAAGATGGATACGATTCTGTCCTTCAAAGATTTGTCTCAGCTCACGGTCTCCTACACTCTCAAATATTTCATCTGCTGAAATGGAAATTGCATATTAAAATGATCAAAATCACCAACACATGTAGTTTTTGAAATACCATAAGTGACTGAGGTATCAACATATACTAAAATTAGAACATCACCAATATGATCTACTCCAGTGGTATGACCTCCTCAATAGGGTACATGCAGATAATCAATTCAATCACAACAACATTACTATTTGTTTTTTGCCATGTCTGATGGCTGAATACCTATTATAAATTAGTTCTGAATTTTTTTCACCTAAAAATAATTTTCTTTCAAATATACTATACGACTCTATTTATATGAAAAGGCAAAAACTAATCTATGTTACTAGAAATCCGGAATAGTGGTTGCCTCTGTGGAGGGAGGCTGACTTGAAAGAGGCATGAGGGAGCATCTTGGGGTGATAAAAATATTCTATGTATTGACCTGAGTGATGATTAAGTGGGTATACAAATTTGTCAGAATTCATCAAACTACTTTTAAAATGTGTGCCTTTCACTTAGGTAATAAATTTAACAATGGAGTTGCGAACAGCCGATTTCCCTTTTAAAGCTGATTGTGCTGGAAATTATTTCATTCAAACACTTACTACAATAAGCTTCAGGATATACTCACAAATCATATGTGATATTTAAAGCAAATCCAAGAAGAGAATTAAATTTATTTTTCATTTTTATCTTCATTAAGTCTGATTTATATTATTGATCATTTAGAGAATTACAGGGAGTACAAAAGCTAGCTATGGGCCATATGAAATACAGCTTTGACCACCTGTGCGGGTGGGAACAATCCAGATAAAAGTTAGCAGATAATATAAAGCCACTCTGCTTGGACTTCCCGTGTTTTATTTTTGGCACACAGCACACTTAAGTTCAACACTGGCTTAGACTAATTATTTTACAATTTGCAAATTTTCAAGTCTAGAGTTCTGTTGAGCAGTAAGGGGAGGAGAGCTAGAGAATCATTTCATATTGCTTTCACAAGAATTTTGACATTTTTCCAGTATTATCTCTATATTAATAAGGTAATGTGTGCCACTCAAAAGAAAGACATAGACTTTAGATGATTTCATTCCACAAATATTTACTGAGTCTCAACTACTAGGTCAGCATTGGGTTCTTGGTGTTTTTTAGGTGTCGGGGGGCAGGGCAGTCAACAGGAAAACAGAATCCCTGTCCTCACAGAGCCTGCACTTCAGGGGATCACTGTTCATCCACATCACCCAGTACCACCCACTGCATGCTTTCCTAAGCCACACCCTTACTGGTAGAAACATCAACCTCCAAGCCTTGTGATGGCAGAAGATTTGCTTATAGATTGCTTCTGGAAACGACTTGGATATGCCAGACAAGAGCTCAAGGATGGGATGAACGCATGTGCTACAACCGCTGTGCAGCTCTGAGCACAGCTTCCTCCAACTCACCAGGATGCCCCTGAAGGTCAGGGTGGCCCTTCTGGAATTCCTCCTTTTTTTTATCCAATTCTTGTTGAAAGTGCTCAAATTCTTCCTGATACTTTTCTTTTTCTTTTTCTGAAATTTCTTTATCTGGGGTAGGCTTTTTTGGAATTTAGGAATAGATCATTAAAAAAAATTAAAAAGATAAAAATTTAAAAATTAAAAATTAAAAAATAATAAACCTCAATATACTTTCTTCCCCTTCATTTGAACTACTCAACCACTAGTTGAAAGGTTAACATAAAAATGTTATTTATTTAAATCAAAACCATTTTACTCTTGCTACTAATAATTACAACAAAACAGTAACACTAGCAACTACCATTTATTGAATTCACTGTCCTATTTAATGCTCATGACACCACGAGCTGGCCAGTCCCAATGTCTCAGTTTTACCAGTGAAGAAACGGAGTGGTACAGAGGTTAAGTCACTTCTACGAGATCAAACAGCAATAAGAGGCAGAAACAAGACCCAAATCTAAGTTGGGCTTCCCAAGTTTTCAGCTACAGGGAGATACCAATAAACTGAAAATAAACTTTTTGGAGAAAAAAAAAAAAAGTGTATACTTACCAGCTCTTTCCCAGGCTCAGTCAATTGGAAAGTCAGAAAAGAAAGGACATCATGGTCATCTACAAATTAAAAAAAAAAAAAAAAATCTGAAAAAGTTCCGTAACAGATTTTTATGATTGTGAAGTTACTTTAGAGAGATCTATTGCTTTAAAAATAATCAATATGAAAAATAAAAATCAGCTCTCATCTGGTAAAGGCAATGGTGCTCTGTGAGCTTAGAGATAAAAATTCACCAGAAAGATGTACATCAGAGATAAACTAAAATTCACTTTCTTTTATCCTAAACCAGAATATTTAACAGTGTTTAACATATAACAGATGTTTAATAAATAAGGGGAAAAAGGATAATAATAAATAAGGGATAAGGGAATAAACAAACGAGGGGTCAAAACAAGCCAAACTCCTAAATCTGACACCAAGATCTTGCCATATTTTCCCACAAATCTCCTTTACAGGCTGTGTCCCAGCCAAATGAGACAAAATCCTGTCCTTCATGTATTTCCGTTCCTGTCTCTAAACCCTTCTTACGGTACTTACAATACTTGCCTTACTTTCTTGTTATAAACTTGACATTGCCTTGTGCTGGCTTACTGGGACAGTCCTGACTTATCCACATTGTCCTGGCTTTACTGATAGCATCTTCTTTTATTCTCAAAACATTCCAATTTAGATAATATGACCACCCTATCTATACATCATTCATATCTGTTTCCCTCACACAGCAGATACGAACAATTTTACTTTATTTAAAATCATATTTTAAAAATCAAATTAATTTCAGGCTGCTTAAGCTGAAAACGGACTTAGCAGATCAAACCTCATAATGCTGACCTAAAATACCAATCCTGGCTAGTCATGTCTGCAGAGCAAGAGCAATTAATTCCAACTGGCAACCTCTATGCTTTCTTCCCACTATTACGGAGACTGAGATACGCAGCCAGATGAGAGAGAAAATTGTAACACTTGGTCCAAGTGTGTAAGCTATGTAACTTTTCAGGAGAAGATGTACAGTGTGATAGAGCACTGGACCCAGGAGTCAGAAATCCAAACCAAGTCCTGCCTTGGTTTGGCCATTACTGGCCATGTACTATTTATAATGTACTTTAATCCAAGATTTGGCAAGCTTAACTAAAAATAAGTAAAACGATCTATCCTCTCTTTCCCTCCCTGTGATGTTGTAAGGAACAATTATATAATTGAAAATAATAAAAAATTATACAAAACGTACCATGTAAACACAAGATGATATATATTTTTTTATTTTTTATTTTTATTTTTATTTATTTTTAAAGATTTTATTTATCTGACAGAGAGAGACATAGCAAGAGAGGGAACACAAGCAGGGGGAGTGGGAGAGGGAGAAGCAGGCTTCCCGCCGAGCAGGGAGCCCGATGAGGGGCTCGATCCCAGGAGCCTGGGACCATGACCTGAGCCGAAGGCAGACGCTTAACGACTGAGCCACCCAGGCGCCCCGATATATATATTTTTAAACACAAGATGGTACTAACGTCGAACGAGAAGTTCATTTATCACCAAATGTGGGGCAAAAATGGTAAATATATCTTGTTAAAACTTTAGTCCCCAATAATATTTCCTCAGGCTACCAAATTCATTTAAATGTGCCGTGACAACTTTCAGGATCCTAAACCACTTGGCAATTGACCTATTATAGCCTTGACCTTAATGTCGACCACCAGTTGTATGCAGCCCCAGCCAACTGTATACCTACAGAATATCAGAAGAAAATTAGCAGATTCAAGATACCAAAAGACCAGCTCTGCAGACTACGTAAAGGTTACAGCTCATCTTAAAAGGTTAAAAGTAGGGCGCCTGGGTGGCTCAGATGGTTAAGCTTCTGCCTTCGGGGACGCCTGGGTGGCTCAGTTGGTTAAGCGGCTGCCTTCGGCTCGGGTCATGATCCCAGGGTCCTGGGATCGAGTCCCACATCGGGCTCCTTGCTCGGCGGGGAGCCTGCTTCTCCCTCTGCCTGCCTCTCCCCCTGCTTGTGTTCTGTCTCTCTCTCTGACAAATAAATAAATAAAATCTTTAAAAAAAAAAAAAAAAAAAAGCTTCTGCCTTCGGCTCAGGTCATGGTCCCAGGGTCCTGGGATCGAGCCCCGCATCGGGCTCCCTGCTCAGCGGGGAGTCTGCTTCTCCCTCTGCCTCTCTTTCTATCTCTTATGAATAAATAATTAAAATCTTTAAAAAAAAAAAGGTTAGAAGTAAATAAGTTTACATATCTCCAAATAGACTATTCCCAATGAAACTCAATACATGAACTTTTAATATTAAAAGATAGCAAGATTTACCTGCAAGACCTCCAGTTGCAGCAGATATTCCAAAATGCCCTTGAGGAGGGATAACCATATTGTCCACTCTGGCACAAAATTCATAGTCATTTTTATCTGGTGTGAAGCCATTATTGATCATTACCTAAAAAAAGACATACTGCAGCTACAGCTTTTACAAGACATTACAAAATGAATTTCAAATAGTCAATTTATGACTAATTGATTTTTATACTTGGTCTACTAACCGTCAAAAAGCTATCAGTTTTCTCTATTATAAAGGGTAATCCCATCCATGAAATAACCTCACTTATTTAGCATCATTAAATAAGATATTTCACTTTAAAGTTTTTATCCTACAATGTGTCAAAGGCTTAAAGAGAAACATTTGATAATGTTCCACGAAAATCTTCCTAAAACAGAAGACTCAGGGAACCACGATGACTTCCTTTGAATGGTTCATACAGAAGAGGGACCAGACTCGTTCTGAAACCCCAGTGTCAGAGCTCAAACGAATAGGATGAATTTACAATTTTTACCACAGCTAGTTGAGAATTAAAGATATTAAACAGACTGCTGTGCAAGGAGTAAGCTTCTCTTCATTCAGTTGGGGAGGGGGTGGGACTGGACAGTGGTAAGTTAGCAGAGAGACAACAGAAGTGACAGAAGTCATACTGATACAAAGGCAGAAAATGAAAAAACTAAAAGGACACCTAAGTTTCTTCTCTGCAGAATGTATTTTTGAAGTAATAACCCAAAATGTCTTAAAAAAAAAAAATCCTGGAACCCCAAGGCAGCAGAGGAACCCAGCAGACACACAGGTACTCTTCTCCTGACCCCAGTTCGGCAGTGGCCCAGCCTTTCACTTCCCACAACCCAACGTAACGGTGGCTGAGCCAGAGGGGAAGCCAGATGAGAGATGTGGCACCAGAGCAGGGCACTTCTATGATTACTTACAGATGCAACTATCACTTGTCAGTGACTGTTAGGATTTAGTCACACAGGTCAAATGATATAGTACACTGTCCATATTTTTGGCAAGAGAGTAAGACATCTGTCAATATGAAGGGTAAATCTCTATGTAACACAGGATAGAAACACGTGAACTACTACCATTCTTCAAAAAAAATTTTTTTTTAATAAGTAGGCTCCATGTCCAGAGTGGAACCTGATGCGGGGCTTGAACTCACGACCCTGAGATCAAGACCTGAGCTGAGATCAAGAGTCGGACGCTTAACCAACTGAGCCACCTAGACGCCCCTACTACCAATTTTTTCAAACGACCTGCCATTTAGTTAGCTAACATTAATATTCTGTTCCCTCTGATCAGTAATGCTCCGATTTCAGTTTACATCATTTATGAATGGTTCTCCTCTACAGTGTTTTAAATCAGAATCAACAATCAGTAAGACATTTGTCTTTGAGAGATAAAACACAAAAGGTATTAAGTTAATCACACCCTAATTCTAACACTAAAAATTTTCAACTATTCCAATACTTTTTCCTTGAACCTGAACAAACTGAAAATCCATTAGGAGTCTTTACTGCCTAGTACTAATTCTTTTATTTTTTTAAAGATTTTATTTATTTGACAGAGAGAGAGTGAGAGGACACACAAGCAGCGGGAGCGGCAGGCAGAGGGAGAGGGAGAAGCAGACTCCCTGGTGAGCAGGGAGCCCAATGAGGGGCTGCATCCCAGGACCCCAGGATCACGACCTGAGCCGAAGGCAGACGCTTAACTGACTGAGCCACCCAGGCATCCCAGGATATACCCACTTTAAGTACTACTCTGAACTCAATTTGTCTATATGACTAAACTCATTACCAACTCTCAACCTTCCCACTCCTCACTCAAACTCAAAAAGGTGCTGCTTCTTGGCTTAGTTGTACAACTGGCCAGAAATCCAGGAACTATCTTTGACTCCCCCACTGCACCTACCGTCATCCCCAAGCACAGTCTCTCCCTCCTAATCACCTCTCCTCCCTTCTCTCCCCTGGCTCAGACCGCAAGTGGAGTCTTGCAGGGAAGATGGCTCTCGGTTCAAATCACAGTTGTGTTACTTATGTGGTATGATACTAAGTTACTTAAAATGTCCCATATCCCATTTCCCCGTGTGTAAGATGGGGATGCCTGCCCCATAGGGCTATTGGAAAAAATAAGTGAGAAACTGCACTTAAAGTACAGAGCATCGGGCATGGCCCATTACGTGTAGAGTCTCCTTTCACAAATACCGTTATAAGAACATGGCTGCCTAAGCCATCCACCCAAACTACAAATAGGATCATTTCCCTTTCCTGCTTAAAACTTTCAACAGTTCCTTATAGGATAAACTACCCGAGGCCTGCGTGACTTGCCACCACCAACCTTTCAACCCCACTCCCCAGTCTCCTCTATCCTCCAGCCATTCCAAATCATGTGCCTTTCCCAAATCTTTCACCAGTCCCTGTGCCTGTTTTCTCTACCTTGAATATGCATCCCATCCCGGAAATCTCCACTTCCCCTTCCTGGTGCGGCTCAGCTCTGAGAAACTGTTCCTGACCTTCCCCACGCCCACTTGCAGTTACAAGATTCTAACCCCTTGATTCCTTAATGGTATGTGTGCTGTGGAACGTCTTCCACCTAGCACAGTAATGTTACACAAGTGTCTCCCCTCTACTAGACTACAAGCTCTTTGGAGAAAATGACCTCTTACTCAGATTCGTATCTGGATGGCTCGGATACGTGTGTAATGTGTGGCATCTAGCAAGTAGGATGCTCAAACATGTACTGACTGAATGCAAACCTACGGGAAAGGTTTCACAACACATGACCACTGAGGCCAAGCTCTGAAGCCACTTCCGTTCTCTCTGAGGAACACTGAGTACATAAACCCATATCCAAACTTACATGCCTTTAATTTCTATCAAAGATTCAGAATGAGAAGTCTTACCAGAACATTTTTCATCTGAGTATCTCTAAGTGCCTGTTACTTACCATCAGTGTTTTCTGGTAATATGTAATCTTTGCACGGACAGGATAGGGTTTATTACGAAAGTCTCTCTGGCAACTTGCTAAAGCTTGATTAATACCATCACTGTAGTACGAAGAAAGGGAAAACAAACAAAAAACGTAAGAAAGCTTCTTAATATCTGAAAACTCACTATTTAAAATGATCAGCGTCCAGAAAGATAAAATAATATCAAGTTATGACAGTCTTGGGATATTTGAAGTTACTTCTTCAGAAGACACAAAGTTTTTCGTGTTTGTTTTTTTTTAAATTTTATTATGTTAGTCACCATACAAGACATCATTAGTTTTTTTTTGTTTTTGTTTTTTTTTTTGCGAGAGAGAGAATGAGAGAGAGCACCAGAGGGAGAAGGGTCAGAGGGAGAAGCAGACTCCCTGCTGAGCAGGGAGCCCGATGTGGGACTCGATCCCGGGACTCCAGGATCATGACCTGAGCCGAAGGCAGTCGCTTAACCAACTGAGCCACCCAGGCGCCCAAGACATCATTAGTTTTTGATGTAATGTTCCATGATTCATTGTTTTCATATAACACCCAGTGCTCCTTGCAGTACGTGCCCTCCTTAATACCCATCACCGGGCTAACCCATCCCCCCACCCTCCTCCCCTCTAAAACCCTCAGTTTGTTTCTCAGAGTCCACAGTCTCTCATGGTTCATCTCTCCCTCCAATTTCCCCCCCTTCATTTTTCCCTTCCTTCTCCTAATGTCCTCCATGCTATTCCTTATTTCCACAAATAAGTGAAACCGTATGATAATTGACTTTCTCTGCTTGACTTATTTCACTTAGCATAATCTCCTCCAGTCCCATCCATGTTGATGTAAAAGTTGGGTATTCATCCTTTCTGATGGCTGAGTAATATTCCATTGTATATATGGACCACATCTTTTTTATCCATTCATCTCTTGAAGGGCATCTTGGCTCTTTCCACACTTTGGCTATTGCGGACATTGCTGCTGTGAACATTGGGGTGCATATGGCCCTTCTTTTCACGACATCTGTCTTTGGGGTAAATACCCAGTAGTGCAATTGCTGGGTCACAGGGTAGCTCTATTTTTAATTTTCTGAGGCACCTCCACACTGTTTTCCCAAGTGGCTGTACCAACTTGCATTCCCACCAACAGTGTAAGGGGTTCCCCTTTCTCCACAACCTCTCCAACATTTGTTGTTTCTTGCCTTGTCAATTTTTGCCACTCTAACTGGTGTAAGGTGGTAACTCAGCGTGGTTTTGATTTGAATTTCCCTGATGGTTAATGATGATGAACATTTTTTCATGTGTCTGTTTGCCATTTGTATGCAGAAGACACAAAGTTAATGCACAAGTTTTCTGTGATTCCTGTCAGAACTCGTGGATAACGTCAGAAGCCAAAGCTACCATGTGCCGACAGCAAGAGGAAAGTTCTACTCCTCTACCTGAGAGAAGGACAAAATAGTCCTTTACGTCAGGGCAGAATCGAAATACATATGCAGCTTTTAAAATGCAGATGCCTAGATTCCACCCCAAGTCAACTGAAGCAGACTCACAAGGAGGTTGGCCTTGGCACCTCTGGTTTAAATAGCTCCCACAGGTGGTCATGACAAACTAGGAGGATTAAAAATCACGAAGGTAGGAAACAGTAAACGGAAATGCAGATGAGTAATTTTTCTTACAGTTTACTGATTGGCTCAAAGGTAATTCCTCCCAAAACAAACATGTAAAAATAAAAAATGTACATACCTAATTCATACACATTATAAATATATCAGACACTTAGAAATTTTGTAGCCTATTGAGAATCTTTAAATAAAGCAACATGAAGCATGAGTAAGGTGGTGTAAATTGCTCAGCCATTAGTTTGGTCAAGGGTTTCAACTTTATTTTTGAAAGATAAAGATGAAAGAAACATGATATGGCATCACCGAGAACCAGGAACATTTTATAAATCTTTCAAAGTATTATGTAATTTTAGGTTCAATAAAAGAACTCTTTTTTATGTTTGAAATCTGAGATGGTCCACAGAATGAACTTTAAAACAGGACCAAATTAAAATAAGAACTTTCTACCAAGTCACAAAATACATCTCAAGAAAAACAATAATCTTATGTCATCTGGAAAATATTCAAATTTGAAACAATATATTTTACAAGGTTTCCAAAAAGAAGCTGCAATCAAATAATATAAAAAGCACACACTTACTTTTGATGGTCATAATGGATTTGTCCATTGTTGCCTATAATTACTATAGCAGGATTATTTTTCTAAAAATAAAAAGAATGTATTTGTTTTAAAAGTCCTTAGGTCAAAGAATTCTAGATCATTCTAGAAGTCCTATAAAGTCTCTCACATCTCTAAAATTCTAGGACTCAAAATTTTAAAATAATAGAAAAGATTTCCACTTATTTAGAAAAAATTAGTAAACTCTTATAATCATTCAAAAGCAATCTTTTTTTTTTTTTAAAGATTTTATTTATTTGAGAGAGAATGAGAGAGAGCGAGCACATGAGAGGGGGGAGGGTCAGAGGGAGAAGCAGACTCCCCGCTGAGCAGGGAGCCCGATGTGGGACTCGATCCAGGGACTCCAGGATCATGACCTGAGCCGAAGGCAGTCGCCTAACCAACTGAGCCACACAGGCGCCCTCAAAAACAGTCTCTTAACACCTCAATAAAGACTGATGATGTGCCCTGTGTGAATAATCAACTACAACACATATTTGAGGACTCACTATGTGGGACCCAAGGGAGATTAGTAACAGAAGGACTAATAATATACCTCAGCATTCAAGGAGTTATTAAGTTCTCCTTTAAATTGCTAATAATGACCTCTGACAATCAGCAGAGAAACTACCAGCTGAAACAAAGATCATCAATCTTAAGGCTGCTAATGCAGCACAAGTTAATGTTACTAAATCGCAAGTACATTTTGTTCTGAACTGTTTTAGGCTCTCTTAACATCATCAGAGATGCTGGCGGATCAAAAAGAGGGATTAACATATGAAAAGGTATTAATATGTGAGCTAGTAGTAGTAATGCATAGGGTATTTTCTTGAAAACAGACTATAATACTAAACAATGCCGGTTTCACTGCCTATCTCTAAATGACTCAGGCTTACGCATCAAAATTACTAAACACATTCGGGCACCGGGGAGGGAGGTCACTGCTAAGTTCTACAGAGTTAGAACTCCATTACGACCTCAAGTTGGTGTATGACAAATCAGGAGCGAAGAGCTTAAATTTCTAAAGTCTCAGTTATATAAAGACTAATCATCATACTTAGGATATAGTTTGGGGATTTCTCAAACTACTAACCTGACAAAAGTGTTAAATAAGCAGTATTTCTCATAGCCTAACTTTAGTTAGCAGATATGCTCAAGTAGGTAATAGTCCTGACAACAAATATACCTTTCCGTCATTGTCGAAAGAATCAAAGAATATTCCAACACCATTCCACATATCAGCTGATCCAAACACAGGACCCTCCAAGCCTTGATTTTCTGTATACCAAACTGCCTGTAAATATAACAAGGGACATTTAGAGGTTAGTGGTATATGCATAGATTTACATTTTCTAAGTTAAAGAAGTTATCATACCAGGCCATCAGCTCCAATTCGACCTCTTCCAGTCACTCGAAATGTCACCTCAACTTCCCAGTTCTCAAAGGCTGCTTTTGTCTTTGTCCACACCGATCCTCTTTGGCTTTTTAAAGATGGTGCTATTCGAATTTGATCTGAACTTGGAATAGCATCTAGAACAAAAATCAGGGAAGAAGAGCTTTAAGTTATAATTAGGTAAAACTCAAGGAACCATCACCAAACAGTTCCATATGTCTATAGAGATCTAATTTTAACTCGGTAACCTGTACAATAATTTTGTTAGGAAAAAATTACGTGCTGACAGTTTTAACTTTAAAACTTTAGAGCTTTTGGGGCACCTGAATGGCTCAGTCAGTTAAGCGTTTGCCTTCGGCTCAGGTCATGATCCCAGAGTCCCAGGATCAAGCCCCGGGTCCGGCTCCCTGCTCAGCGGAGAGCCTGCTTCTCCCTCTGCCCCTCATGCCCCTTGTGCTCTCTCTCTCTCGCTCTCTTCTGTCTCTCAAATAAATAAATAAAATATTTTTAAAAAAATAAAAAAATAGTAAAAAATAAATATTTAAAAGTAGTAAGATAAAATAAAATTTTAGAGCTTTCTAACAGCCTTCCTGTCCCCATCTTTTAAATAGTGAAATACTTCTGGGCGAAATAAAATTAATGCTGCAATACATTAAAAATTCAAGGGGCAGGAGGGAGGAAATTATGGCTTGAAGAGCAGATCAACTATTTGATTCCCATTATATTCTTTTTCAAGTACCTCAAAAACTTGCATATTATTTTTTTTAAACTGGGAACTATTTTACCAGTTTACAAATGTTAGAAAGCTCAAACAGTGTGAAAAGAACATACCACTAGGAATCAAGAGACTTATTCCTAGCCTCAGTTCAGCTGTGTGACTTTGAGCAAATAATTCTTACTGTCTTGGGTTCACCGTATGTTCACCTGTAAAATGAAGGGGCTGGGCTCAATCACTTCCATAAACACCCCAAAATTTATATGCAAAATTTTGTGCACATATATTCTTCTAGGGAGAGGGTCAACTAAATTTCAAGTCAATAAACAGTTCTTTAGCTTCAGCAGATTCTCAAGGAGAACTGTGATCCCCAAAATGGTGGTTTGCATCTTCAAGCTAGGTTCAAATCCCAGCTCCACCACTTACTAGCTGTTTGATTATAGGCAAGTTATTCCATTTCTCTAATAACCTCATAGGCATATAATGCACAGAAGTACTTCAATAAGTGTTAGCTAGTCCTGTTATAGAACTAGATATTATTAAAGCAGCTATCAGGCCTAAGTTTGAACAATTCTAACACATCCTCTCAGGTATTAACCAGTTCTGACATCCATTCTGGGAAATAATTGTATTATGTCTTTACAGCTAGGAAAAACTGACAAAAGACAAGTTGAGGTACTTTAGTAAGATCAGTCACTGTCACCATCACTTTCAAGCACTTAAAAGGTTGGGGCAAGCCTCATGGAAAGAGTAGTGGACACAGAATCAGAAGACCTGGATATGAGTTGTAGTCTCCTGACCTACGTAACCTTTTCCAAGAACCTTAACCTTTCTGAGCAGCAGTTTTTTCATCTCTAAGACAGATAACACCTGCCTTGCCTACAAATGATCAAATCAGAAATGCAGGCGAAAGAGTTTGAGAGCTACAAAGGGTTACAAATTGCTGTGATCATTTTTGTGCCCTATGAACCCAGGATGTGTACTAACAGTACAAAAGGACATTAGAGTTAAGAAAAGAAACACCATCGATTTGATCTTCATTTGGGGATGAATGTAATGGGCCATGTTTAAACTAAATCTCAAATTTCTCTATTTAAAAAAATTGCTCTAAATAATGGATCTCAGGGTAAAATGAGATGGGAAAAAATGATCAATGGAGTTAAGAAAACAGTGAGACTGTAAAAGTTAGTGATAATGAAAGCAAGGGGTATTCACAGCAGGGATTCCCAGAGTCAGTATGCAGAAAAGTCATGACTAAAACACTAATCCCTTTATTTCAAATTCAGTCTAGTCATACAACTTTAATTCACCCAGGGACACGACCTGACATTTTTGCAGCAGACAAGCTTAGTTGGGTATAGGCTCTGTAGAGAAAGTCAAGGTAGCTAATTTGAGTAGCTGATTAACATTCTTAATTGGCTGATGTATGTGGTGTAATAAGTGTGAAAGACAGAAGAACAAGCAGGCAAGGGAGAGATGCAGAAGTGAAAAAGTGTGAGCAAATTCATCACCACTACTGAAAACTTCATCTTCACTCCAAAACAAAAACCAAAACCCCTCAAAACTTGTGTTTGGTACACCTGCAGCATCTTTGTATATTAGGAACAATGTTACCTTGATAACAAAAGCCCAGCAATATATCCTTGATGAGTGGGCACAGAGCAAATGCCTGCTGAATAACAAAATAACTGCACTCTACTGCAAATACTTAATGACTTGGTCATTAAGTCAAATTGAAATTTTACACTTTCAAGTTATACATTAATTTCAGTGAAATGGTCCTTCCTAAAAGTGTGTTTCCTACTCAGTAATTACTTTCTAGAAATGGAATATTTTGTTTCAAGCACTTGACATTCTAAAACGATGTATACAAACCTTATATAAGTGACTGTTTAATTACGCAGGGATGGAACTCAAAATGCCAGAACTTCTCACCCCGTAAAAAGGCATTTGTCACTTGTTTCAAAGGGTGCATCTGATGGTCACTGAACAGAGCTTACAGCATGCCAAGTGTTACGGCTCATTCCTTAGTCAGCAGTGACACATCATCACTAGAAAGTACAGATACGTTTTCTTTCACATATGTAAATGTCTAGCAAGGCTCTCTTATCTACTAACAGTGACACACAGAGTGAATAAAACATGGAGCAGATTCCTTCCAATTTTCAAAAAAGCTAAATACAACTTTTTTTTTTTGCTAAATACAACTTTTAAGAGGCTGTATATGTAATGTTATTTTAATATATCAAGTGCAGAAACAATACAAAAAAAATATATCCCTTTTACTAAATAAAGGGATGAGTGGGACTCTTGTTACATAATGTGTTAATACAACTGAAAAGATCAAAGACCACACCAAGTCACTGGAAGAGGCAAATTCAAGGTGTAGTAGTTCCAATAGCGTAACAATGTCCTCGGACATAAAAAGACTTAAAAACGACTCTAAAATCAACATATGCCAGCCACCTCTGGAGTCATCAGGGGGTACGAACTGGAGCATTAACCATTGCTTGCACCGGAGAAAAGAGAGCAGGGGAGGACCTAGGAACAGCGGGAAAGGAGGTAGGGAAGCTGCTTGAACAGGTCTCAGGTTGGGATGGCCGGGGGTGGGGCTGCGGGACGTTCGCGTAGAGACGTGGCGTTAGGGTGAAACGCGATGCTTAGAAGAGAGTCTGAGTGCTTGCAAGTGTAGGAAAGTAACAAAACACCTCCAGGCTGAACGGAAAGAACGGACGAAATCAAAGAAAGGAGGACTGGAGGCCGAGGGGTGGACAGAATGGGGAGAAGAGTCGGGCGCAGGCGGAGAGAGCCCTGCGGACCAGAGCCGACCTGCAGGAGGGGCTGCTGAGAAGGGTCCACCACGCCAGGGGTGTGCAGCAGGGACAGGGTAGAGAGGAGACGCAAGGCGGGGAGGGGACCCTGGCCCCCCGCCCTCTTTCCCGGCTTACTCCCCGCGTGGGCCCAGAAGGGCACCGTCCCGTCGCTCTGCACCAGGTGCGGTCCCTTGAAGCTGTATTTGTACTCGAAACGGCGGTATGGCGACGCGGCCGCGGTGCCCGCGGCACCAGCGGCCGCAGGGTCGCCTCCCAGGCCGTCGCTCCCGGCGAAGCGACTAAGCGACAGCAGCACGGCGCAGAAGAGAGGCTGAACTCTGGCCCGGGGACCCCATTGCCTGGATCCCGCCATCTTGGATTCTGGGAAGCGGAGGCCGGCGGGAGGAGGAGGGGCGCGGGAGCTGCGGACGGCCAACAGGGCGCTCGCTGATTGGCGGAGCCCGAGAGACCCCGAGGGCAAGGGTGAGCCCCGCCCCCGGACTCCGTTAGCCCGGCGGCGGACTCGGAGCATCAGTGGGCGGGGCCCCGCGGAGGGGGCGGGGCCTGGAGGCGGTGCAGTCCGCGAGCTCCTCCCGTCCTCTTTGGGGCGGGAAAAGGTCTCCAATATTCCCTTCCCACGTGACTGGGAGTGTTGGAGGAGCAGACCACATGCCTACCTGCAAGAAGCTTTTTCCTGCCTCATAACCTGAGTTAGAGGTGGAATTCCGGAGGGGGCCAGAGTGGCTCAGTCGGTTAAGCGGCTGTGGTCAGCTCAGATCGTGATCCCGGGGTCCTGGCATCGAGTCCCGCATGGGGCTCCCTGCTCCCTGGGGAGCCTGTTTCTCTCTCTCTCTCTCTTTGTGTCGTTCATGAATTAATTAAAAAAAAAAAAGAGGTGGAATTCCCGAGCCCTAACACCTGTGGACCCACCACATCTGTCCTATCTGGCTATAATAAAGTGTTCCAGTATTTGTTGGAAGAAAGTTGTTTCTTTTTTTTTTTTTTTAAGATTTTATTTATTTATTTGAGCGAGAGAATGAGATAGAGCACGAGAGGGAAGAGGGTCAGAGGGAGAAGCAGACCCCCTGCTGAGCAGGGAGCCCGATGCGGGACTCGATCCCAGGACTCCAGGATCATGACCTGAGCCGAAGGCAGTCGCCCAACCAACTGAGCCACCCAGGCGCCCAAGAAAGTAGTTTCTTTTGATGTGATACTGATTGTTCGGTAGCCAGTTTTCATTAGGCGACAAGTCTTTCCAGAAACAAGGGCATAGTTTGGTGGTATGATGGTCCCAGCCCACTGAGCTCCATCAACCTGTGTTAGCGCATTTCAAACAGAGGGCCATGAATATTAAGCTGGGGAGTTTGGATATTGCCCTTGAAAATAGGAAGTGTCTGTAATGGTCTTAAAGGAGAAAAAACGGGGCAAGTTCTTGTTGAGAGAGAACATCTAGGGGAGAGGTGACTAGTGTCTGGAGTGAGACCAGAGTAGGGCAAGTGAAACAAAAGAGACAAGAGAACTTGATACAGTGAATGAATTCAAAACATTAAAAATAAAAAAATAAAATAAAAAAAATAAAACAGAAGGCTTTACCTGTTTCTCTCCTAATCCCCTTTCATCACACCCTCCATCTTTTACTTCTGTTAAGACCATTTTGTTCAGGGTGGCAATATGTACAGCTGAAATACTCATTTCTCCAGCCTGCAGGACATTTAATGAGAGGTAGGCAGAAATGCCTGAGGAGAGAGTCAGGTACCAAATAAAAAGGTAAAACCTCACTAGGTGAAGGCTTTCCTTTTCCCTGTTTGTATTGCTTCCTGCCTGAAATGTGTTTGCAATGCCTAGACAGCCGCAGTCATCTTGTGACCACTAAAAATGATGGCCCAAGAAGCCAGAGGAGCCCCTATCTTTAATGATTTCCTTGAGCTCTCTGGCAGGCCAAGGCTGCCTATCTCCAGACTTCTGTTTTCTGAGATAAGACCCTCACTCATTTAAGCTATTATTTCCAGGTTTTGTTACCTGCAGTCCTAACTGATATCATAGCTCACATGTATTGAGTGCTACTATGTATCAGGCACTATTCAGGGTGATAAACATACATTCACTCATTTAGGAGGAAATTAACCCAATATTTTCATTTAACAACAAGGCTTTGCCCTAGCTATTTCATTTATAAGAAATAGTCCTCTTTCTCAAACTATATGTATATCTTCCGTAAAATAACACGTTGAACATCTTAAAAGTCCTTCTTCAAGTTTTTCCCAATTATAAATCAGTCATGAAACATGAAGGCTTCTTTACAAAAGGGTGAGGTTTGGCACCTGGGTGGCTCAGTTGGTTAAGCGACTGCCTTCAGCTCAGGTCATGATCCCAGAGTCCTGGGATCGAATCCCACATCGGGTTCCTGGCTCAGTGGGGAGCCTGCTTCTCCCTCTGACCCTCTCCCCTCTCATGTTGTTTCTCTCTCTCTTGCTCTCTAATAAATAAATAAAACCTTAAAAAAAAAAAAAAAAAACAAAAGGATAAGGTTTTACCTTTGGGTCAATACCATAAGGTTGGTTTTTGTTTTGTTTTGTTTTAATATATGAGTTTTATAAAATATGGCGGAGTGTTGCAAGTGTAGGAAAGTAACAAAACACCTCCAGACTGAACAGAAAGAATGGACGAAATCAAAGAAAGGAGGACAGGAGGCCAAGGGGTGGGCAGAATGAGGAGAAGAGTCGGGTGCAGGCATTAGAGAGTGGCATCAGAAGAGGGACAGAAATTATGGAAGTCTCTCCCCATCCTACTGAGCCCAGCACAGAGCTGAGAAATGAAGTAGCAGTACTGGGGCTCACTTTGGTAACTGATTCCTTGTAACTCTTTCCTGGTAAGAGCAGGACTCCTTGTATGCCTCTCCTGTGCTAGCAAAAAATGTCTTAGATGCCAGAAGACTGAAAGGACTCTCCCATTTATAAAACCTATGGTGTTGCTTTGCTCTTAAATGAATAAAAAGACCAGGAACAGATTGGGAAGCGTCTTTTCTTCCTGGTCTTCCCACTCATTGAAGTAGCCTTGTGGATCAATGTATTGTTTTTCCATGATTGGTGATCCCTTTCAAAAACATTTTTTTAAACTCATCTACATTACCCTTACCAGTGGTACTCATTCTTATTGGCTAGAGTCAGGGATAAAAATATGTGGTCCATGAGACACTTCGGTAAGCTTATAATAGACTCTCATTTTCACTTAAACTGGCTGGAAAAATTTTCACTTAGTTGCAGCAAATAATAGCGTTAAAACTAAGGCTACATGACAAGTCATTATTTGCATTCATGGATTAACTATTTCAGGGGCCTCGTAATGACTCTAAATCAATCATATTTGATAAGAGTAATAAAAATGATGATATTATCTGCTTGATTCTTCAATGTGTGATCATTCATTCATTCATTCATTCATGCATGTGTTCATTTGTATCACTCATTAAGCATAATTGAATACTCCGCTATACTAGAGGCAAGGCAGTAAGAATATATCCTGTATAGAGAATTCAGATTTAATCTTAAACAATGAGAAAATTAGTACACATATTTTAATAAATGGGATGTTTTGGGCTATAGAAACAAAACAACTCAATTTAAAGTGACTGAAACAATAACATATACTGTAAATTTTCCCCAGAACTATAAGTTAGAGGTAGGACTGGGTGCGGGAAGGTACAAGGTTTGGCTGTGCATCTTTGAAATTTCCTTGGCTCTACCTTGTATTCACTTTGTCCTCAGACTTCTCTCCAACTTCTAAGATGGCAGCTCCTTCTTCATATTCCATGGGAGAGAGAAAAAAAATATCTTCCAACCTTGGAATATGTTCTTCTACTCTTCTTCTTCTTCTTTTTTGGTAAAGATTTTACTTATTTATTTGAGAGAGAGAGAGAGAGCTTGCACAGGAGGGGGAGGGGCAGAGGGAGAGGGAGAGAATCTCAAGCAGATGTTGCACTGAGCATGGAGCCTGACGCTGGACTGATCCCAGGACCCTGAGATCATGACCTGAGCTGAAACCAAGAGTCAGGCACTTAAGCAACTGAGCCACCCAGGTGCCCTCAAACTTCTGTTCTTTATTCAATTTAGGTTACATGCCCATCTTTGGAACATTAACAGCGGCCAAGGGAAGACCACACACTGAATCAATTACTGATAAGAATATGGGATTACTAGATTTGGTTAAGAACAGTGGTCCTCAAATCTTAGTGTGATTCAGAATTACCTGGGGAACTCTACCCCAACATTCGTAATTTAATAGGTCGAGGATGGGGCCCACGAATTTGCATTGTTAACAAGTTCCAGTGATGTTAATGATGCTTGTTTGGGGACCACACTTTGAGAATCACTGGCTTAGACAAATCATGATCTACCTCAGGAACTGGGGATGGAGTTGGCTCCCCTGAGCCACATGGGCTATATGTGGGAGGGGTGAATATCTGACCCAAGTTGAGGTCCGGTTTAGAAAGAAGAGGGTTGAAATGAAAGATCAGAAGACAACCAACAGCAACTCCTACACTTGTTTAAGCAAGAACATGATAATGTCATAGAATTTATGCATTATTAAGGATGCAAGATGGAAGAGTAATCTAAATTAGGAGGACATGATAACATGATTATAAGAACAAAGAGTTTTCAATTCAAGATGACACCATAGCTCAAATAATCAGATCTTTTTAATCAACAGGGATGCAAGATGTAAGATTTCTAAGGAAGGCGAACACAAAGCTGGATGGAGTCTCTACACAGAACAGTTGTGTTCCCTCTCTGGATCGCCTTTCCTGGCTTATGGAGTCATTATTGTCTCTGCAAGGCTGTGTAACTGCTAGGGCAAAGCCATAAGCAATTTGCTTAAATCCTTCTCAGGATGGTTTTTAATTAGGGTACCTTTTATAGGTGAGGGTGTAATAATGGAATGGTTGATTGGTCAATCTTTGTATCATTTGTATCTGCACCCATTTGTCAAATCAGAGTAAGAGAAACAAAAAGGTGTTTCCCAGAGTGTGCTCCTTAAAACTCCCCGGTGCCAAGATATGCTATGAGATACTATGAGGATAAGAGTTTTATAAGCAAACGAGTGTAGGAGACTTGCGCTTCCGTATGCACATTAAAGGGTTAAAAGCTCATAGAAATTCTCTAGTGGTGAAGCCCAGTTGATTTTGTTTTAACACATTTCCCAAAGCTATTTGGTCACAGGAGCTTTTTTGCACAAGGCTGTTAACATACAGCAGGACTCCTGTCTGGTGGAATACACTTTCGGAAATGCTGAACGAAACTACTTTAAAACACTGTCAAAGAGTTCTGTTTCCATTAGGAACCACTCCAAGATTTGCCAAACTTCTCTCTAAAAGCAAATTCACTCTGATGGCTAATCTGAGTGTACTATAG